ATATATAATTTTTTAGTTGAAAGCTTCTGATTATAAATACAAGATCAAATGAACTTTGTATTTAGCAAATTTATAGTCAAACTGTTCTTCTCAATGATACAAATCCAATAACATCAAAAGTTCCAATCTCACTCCAAATAAATAATTCAAATAATTGAAATGTGGATAAAAATTTTGGGACATTAATTGAAGTCCTGTAATCTCTGAATTATGGTTGCTTATATTAAAATCAAGCATCTCGATAAAAAATACAATAAGATTAACATAACTCATTTTTAAGTTATATGGGCATTTAAATAATTAATAAATAATCCATAACAAAAGAAATAATGCAGGTTGTCTGGTAAGGAATTTTAGAATTCTAATGAAAATAACTCAAAAGTCACTCTAAGAAATTAAAGATGCCTCATTTCTTCACATAAAAGAGACAAAATTAAATGATCGTGGAGATCTAAAAAACTTTAGAGCTATTCCTGATGACTAATGCTAATGACCATTACCACCAAGAGCTTCTATCATTTGGCCACCATCACCTAATCATTGTTGTCCAACCACCATCACTGAATAGTCATTATATGATAATAATCACCTGATTATCATAACTTAATTGCTACTAACTATCTGTGATCATATAGCCATCATCAATTAGCTATTATTTTTCAATTATTATAGATAGATTACCATCTCTAAGCCATCATTATCCAAAAATCAATAAACTACATTTACCCAACCACTGTCATCACTTTCCACTGCTTATATTACAATCATGGATGCTTTCAAGTGCTCCCAACTTTTCAATCTCATCTTCTCCAGCTTTAGCAAGGAGAAAACATTTATAACATAAAATACAATGTATTATTTTAGCTAAGTTAGGCTCCATAATTTTTTCCTTTCTAATTCTTCAATAAAAAAATTAAAATAATAATATATTTGATATTATTTTTTTTAAGTCTAATTACTACCATGACATCTACATTACATTTTCTTTCATTGAGATTGCCATTATCAGTGATCAGCACATATAAAAGGCCTTTACGGTGATGTAACTTGCCTCATCCTTCACAAAGGCATACCCAACTTCCTTTTCATCCATCATAACGAGTCTTTTTACATCCCACACAATTGCCCTCTACCAGGTAGAGGTCCACAACTAATATAATAATCTCTAGTAATACTTCAGCCAAGGTGAAGGCCGTTACCACTACCACCTCAATTTTTTAGCCCAACTTGCATCTCTTTTCAAGCAAGCCACCAACTTAACAAACTCTAGTGTCCATGTTCACACATTACTCATTAGTATCACCATGACCATCTTGAATTATGACTGCATGTACATCAACAACATCATCAAATTCACCATGCAGTTAAATGTGGCATCTTGAACTCCTCCGATAATGATACTTAAAAAATATCCGCATAAATAGCTTTGTTATGATTTATAGAGGACGCAATAAGTATAGTGAGCCCATAGTCTTAGAAACAAACACAATAATATGCATATACCATGCTAGTTGAAAACCAGTAGCATGCATCATATAAAACCAAACCGAGTCAAATATATCGCTTCCCGATAGGGTTGAAAATGAGAGTCAAACTCAAGTCACATACTTGAGCTTAATTAATTTATTAAATAAATTTCCACGCATACAGCCACAACCTCATCTGCTAAGAGTATGCAAATTAAGAAGAAAGAAAATTCATTAAGCATATTGACTCACAATATTGGAAATATGATAAATTAATTATATAAATAGTTAAAAACTAAGCCATATGTATGAGTTACCATCATTTATAAATGAATCTTAACCCATCAAAATCAAACCAAACCATTTGGGTGCGGCAGGGTAATGACCAATGATGGTATGTGTAGCAGCCCTACTACGGTGCAGGGAATCTCAACAAACGCTGGAAAAACAGTAGATAATAATATCTGTTAAGAGTCTAGTTGGTTAGTTTAAAAAACTTATAAACCTAGTATAATGTGATTAAATCTATAACGCTGAAGCAAATTCTTCGGTGTTTTTTACATCAGCAGGTCCAAAAGGCAGCTAGCCTGTGGAAGAAAATGCAAAAAATGAGTTCCTGTTGCTTTTGAAAAAGACGAATGCGAAAGGAGATTAGTGCTCGCGTAACACAATCATCATCATCACCATCACCATTATAATCTGCGATAAAGAATGTCATAATGGCCAGGTCGATACAACAATGTAACAAAAGGTTCTGCGGTGTTGCCAGGTGGGTCCAATGACAGGCTGTGCTCGTCCGCCGCCGAAATGTTGGGAACAAAGTCATGATGATTCACAGCTAATGCGCCTTTGTCACATGAGCTTCGGTCTAGGTAAACTACTCGTATCGGCACACCCAGGGCATCTGAGAGAGCAATTATGTGCACGTGATCGCATTCTTCACCCATAGGCTCCACAGATGATTTACAGAACTGCTTAACAAGAGATCATTATGAATGAGAAGTTCGATGTTCAATTCATGCAGGAATATTATTCAAGCAAAAAAGGAAATGTCACGGTAAATAGCTGCAAAATAATGAAGTAATGATACTTCGACAAAATGCTACAGTACAATATCCCTCATTTCATCATGGATCTGGATATGCAGTTAGTAGATCATACATGAGGATTTAGATGATACGTTCGGCTCTTTTGGCACAACTGCCAGGAGAAGAAAGCAATGTCCGTCGGTTTATGCAATATTGCTAAAAATAGAAAACTTCAAATCTATTAAACGAGGTCTGAAAAAATGGATTCACATGGTCACCAAAATATTTTGCCCCTTCAAAACCTAGAGGGCATGATTAGAATTAAAAGAAATTCTATATATGTACTTATAATGGTGAAGTGCTATCAATATGCTAAGAACACCTATGGTTTTGACAAGGCAAAACTAGACGCAGAAAACCCTCTGCTTCCTCTTAATTCAAAAACATAATCAGAGGAAAATGCAAATAATCACCTGCTCATCAATCAATCAGTATGAAATCGCAATTACTAGGAATGATCAAAACTGATTGCACAAATCTCAATTCCTATATCTCAACCATTACAATTATAACGGGAAAAAAAAAACATTAAATTGAAAACCAAAGATCACGAAGCAAAGAAAGGCATACACAGAAACAAAACTTGAAGCAGTGGCATCGCAGAACAATTCCAGATGGATTAAAAAGAAATCCATCATTTACCTAACTCGATTTAACATTACATGTCCAAGTCTAAACATCAAATAGGCATTCTAGCCCCAAATCGGTCCAGAAATCTCCAAAATTTGACAGAACTTGTACACTACTCTCTAATATCTTCAGGAATTTATAATCTACTTCCAATACCCATAAAATAATTTCCCCGCTGGAGAGTTTTAGAGGAAGTTGCTAAGCAAAACCACCCACACATGCAATAAACATGTAGAGCATCGTATCATGAATGTAGCTGTGACTGGTGTTTAAAAAACTGGTTGAGGCATCCGTCTCGAGGCGCGTCTTCATTTGAGGTACTAAAGAATAGCTTCGAGGCTCAAGCCTCGTGCATTAGAGCAAGGCTTTCGCCTTTTATAAAACAAGGCATATGCCTAGAGGCATTTCGCCTTGAGGCTTTTGGGTGATAATCTGAAGCATGGACACCTCAAAACACGTGTCATACCCGTGTCGAGCATACTACGTGTCTAACACGCTATTAATCATGTTGAGACTCCATGTTGAATTTGACATGGTTCGGATACCCCTCGACGCTGCCACAAGCTTAACTTCAAGTGCATTGAAGCAGAAGCTGAAGCGGCAACACAAAATCAAAACTGCAGTGTTCTCAAGCAATCCTCATCTTTAATACATTTTCCTTGAATTAAATATTTACTTTTTTTTTCTACGTTTGGCTAGTTTATACATATATTTTCCACCCCTTTAATATCTAATTTATTATAAAGATCACTAAAAATAGAATTCTTAGCATTACAAATTATTCTCTTAGACTTCCTATAGGTCATCTTACACTTTTTCATTTAAATCAATTCTTATAACACTTCTTATATATATATATA